CCCCGTCTTTTTTTTTTTTTTCTTCTTCTCTCTCCAAAACCTTGAAAACTCAAAGCAGAAAATCATTACTATTTATTTCGTCTCAAAAAAAAGAAAGCAAAACCAGAAAAAAAAAAAGAAAAAAGAAAAAAAAAGGGTTTGTTAACCGTTAAGTAATATGTGCTTTCGTCATGGAGAATAATAACAATTACCAGGGAGATTTGACCGACGTCATCAGAGCCGCCTCAGTCGGCGCCGCCGCCACCCCGACGGAACCGTGGCAGCTTCCGGCGACCCCTCCCCTCGACTCCTACCCGAGCGAACCGGGTCGCGATGATTTTGGAGACCCGTTTACCCATTTTGGGGACCCTCTGCTACACGGGTCCGAGACCCGGGTCGGGTCAGAATTTTTTCACGGCGGTGAAAATACAGTAGAGTTTGCTTCCGCCGCCGCCGCCGTTATAACTAGTAATGATATGATGGGTCAAAGGGATGTTAATCTCGACGACGAGATGAGGAGACCTAATTATTTCTCGAGGATGCTTCAGATCTCTCCGTCCGGCGGGGCGCCGCCGTGTGGTTCTCCGCCGCCGCCGGCGGCAGTGAACCGCCGGAATTTGTTAATCTCGCCGAGTATATCAAAAAATTACCCGCCGGCCGGTCTGCAGATCTCGTCTCCACGAAATACGGGCATCAGGAGAAGGTAGAGATTTTTTTTTATTAACTGTTTTGTTTATTTATTTAGTTATTTATTTAAATCAATATATGCATTTAATGAACTACATAGCAATTAATGTGCGATTTGAGAACTCGAATTGACTCTAGCTTGGCTCGACTCATTTGATAAACAAGATGAGCTCGAGCTTATAACGAGCCGAGATTTTTATGCTAAAAAATAGGATTTTGTTAATATAATTTTTATCAGTCGATTGGTTAGTGTTGAATTCAGAATTAACATTCAAAATTATCTCTGTGTTTTTGAGCTAGCTAGTGTTGACTGTTGAGTGTAATTTCATATTCTCCTTCACTTTCGGCTTTTATTTTTATTTTTTTCAACAAAAAGGAAAGCTTTACCAATAAATTAAATTAAAATAAAATGTGAGTTTCATCTTTCATGCAAAATATATCAGGAAGAGTCAGGTGAAAAAGGTGGTATGCATACCGGCGCCAACGCCTGCAAACAGCAGGCCCAGTGGGGAAATTGTGCCATCAGATCTTTGGGCTTGGAGAAAGTACGGTCAGAAGCCCATCAAAGGTTCTCCTTATCCAAGGTAATTACATATAATTTCTGCAAATTCATTTTTTTTCTTTTCCAGTTTTTATCTTTCGCAAATTTTGTCACTGAAACACACACACACAAACACATTGATATTTATTTATCTCTCTCTTGTTTTTTTTTTGGCTGCTACATCTGTTGTCACTAATTTGGTCTAATAATTAGTGTTTGATTGCACAAATTTCAATGTTGATTTAGCTGTAAGTTCGGCAATATTAGTAATGGTTTAACGTAAAAATCAAATTTAGGAAAAAATTCTGACAAATTTCTTGGAACTAAAACAAATTCCTTTTTTTTCCACATCAAATTACTATTTTGTGGATTTTTTTAATTAGTAATTACATAATCTTATCCCCTTTTAGATGCACAGGTACTACCAGAACACAGCCAAACCTAAATTAGCTAATAGTAATTATGGGAAATTATAGTCCATTTGGTTTTAAAGAAAAATTAAGGAGTGATTGAAAGGAAAAAGATAAAATTTCAAATAGGATTAAATATATGTACAGCCCAAGATAAATCATTACTCTTACTAAGCATGATGATAATCTTTTTAACAAGACTTCTGACTTTTGTGAGGGTAATTGCAATCTAAGTTGACTGATCTTAAAAATTTGTGACTGTATTTGAATTCTCTTGAACCATACTTTCAAATAAAAATACTCATGCCCTAAAAGACAAAAAAAATACGACTAATCGACCGGTCTAACAATTTGACTGTCTAAATTTCTGTTCGACATTATATATTAATGTAGGGGTTAATCAACCCGGCCCGTCTAACGTTTAGACTGTCTTACACAATAAAATAATTTATGTACGACCTTATATACTGCTAGGGGTTAATATCGGCCCGTCTAACGGTTAAACCATCTCACACAAGAATTTATGTACGTTATTATATAATTGCAGGGGTTACTACAGATGCAGTAGCTCAAAGGGATGTTTGGCTCGGAAACAAGTGGAGCGAAGCCGAACCGACCCAAACATGCTTGTAATCACCTACACCTCGGAGCACAACCACCCGTGGCCCACCCAAAGGAACGCCCTCGCGGGCTCCACACGATCTCAGTCGTCCAAGCCCAACAACACCAACACCGGCCCAAAAAGCCCGGACAAATCTGAGGCCCCACAAAAGCCCACGGATGAAAAGGAAACCTTACCTGTGAAGGAAGAAATGGATCTGGATCCGGGACGAATGGAAATCAAGGGCCCGGATTTCAACACAGGGTTCTCGGGCCCGAGCCAGCTGGAGGATAGCTTTTTCGCGGAGTTGGGGGAAATCGAGACGGATTCTTTGGGAATTTTCGGGTTTTCGGGTGGAGATCGGTCGGATAACAAGTTGGACCCGTTTAGTTTTTGTGAATGGACGGGTAGCTCGTCGCACGAGGAGGCCGCTAATAAGAACGATTCGTAACACGAATAAATAAAGCGTCATTTACATATATAGANGGATAGCTAGGGTGAGGGTGAAAATGGAGAGTCATCAAAAAGTGTTAGGTTAAAAACTAAGAAAAAGAGTATTAATTTATTATTATTATTATTATTATTATTATTATTATTTGGGATGTATAATTGGATCTGGATGGGACACAAAGTAGAGGAACAGAAGGTTGAATAGTATTGAGAAAAGATAGAAAAAGAAAGATAAAATAATAAGAGTAAATAAAAGAAGGGAAGTGTATAGGTGTTATGAGACATGAAAAGGATGGCTCAATGAAGGGATTATGATGATGGATGGACTCCAATTTGTATGTTAGAAGTGGGTTTAATTATTCACAAACATAAATGGCTTGCTTGATATATAATAATATATACGTGTATAGTATGTAATTTATTTATAGATCCTATGTATCCATAATCAATGTAGTTTGTAGCTAAACACTAATGAAATATTTGAGACTTTTCATGTTGGCCATTTGGACTTCAGATAGATGTATGGAAAGTAAACCATGAGATAGATGTAAGGAAGCTTTGGATTAAGGTCGAGTCTAATAGATGGAGTCGAATATATATTGTCATTGTTAAGTTAATCCGTATGCAAAATTTCATGAATTCGAGCTTGAGCACAAAGACCTGAACATTTCAGGTTCAGCTTGACTCAATAAAGAACGCTAAAACTTGATCAAGTTGAATTGTTCGAATTCGACTCTAAATTTTGATAGTGTCTAGTTAAGTGTATGTTAAGTATTTTTACATATATTTTAGCAGTTTGTCGAACTTAAAAATTTAACTGTCAAATCACATGCTTGTAGGTTTTAGTGGTCAAATCAACACTTGACTCGATCATTTAAAGATTTTCAATTATCAATAAAGTTGACAATGGAGCTTAATTTTTTTTATTTTTTTAAAAAAAGGTTATACATGAGTACGCTGAAGTTTGCCATTGAGCCATGAAACTTAATAGTACCTATTTCCTACACATCAAAATAATTGTCATTTAAAAAAGTTCCATACTTTAAAAATTCATATAGAACACACGATTTAAGGACAAATTTGGGAAGATGATGGAACTTAAGTCTTTAATTTTTATATGGTAATTATATTATAGATTAAGTTTGTAGAATTGAGGAAGCACTTTTGCTTGTATTAAATTATTAGTTGGCAAAACAGTGAGTTCAAGATTTGTCAAATCCATCTATCAACTTTCTTTCTAATCAAGAATTGCCAACTCACGTCTTTTCCATTATTGAAGAATAATAATAAACAATAGTTCAAAAGTTCTCTTTTTTTCCAATTGATGTCTTGGGTCAGTTACTCTAATGGAGGGACTGTTTAAGGCCATAAAGTCGTGACTTTGATGGGGTAATAAACTCGCACTTCTACCACTCCCCCAACCTTGAAGTCGTGTTTGTTCAAAACACGTGATTCTTCTAAGCTTTTCCGGATCATTTTAAGTCCATTTTTCAATCATGAGTTCACCACTCTTGGATAATTATTACTCCACTTATTATTACCACTCATAAGTAGTCTATGTTGAAATCGATTATAACTCATGTACTAAATTTCCATGCATTCATTGAGAAAATAAAACATTATTTTCATCACACTGATTTTTATAACAATGTATACTATATCTATAAAAAAAAAAAGGTTAAACTCGAGTTTAACTCATTTATTAATATTAATGGATCAAATGTGAACCTTAAAAAAGTCGATCTTAGATCACATTTTGCTTGTTTTATTAAAAAATAATTCATCATTTTATTTAATTCTTAACCAACTTTTTCGTAACTTTTTTTTATTAAAAATATACATTTTTTCAAAAAAAAATAAAAAATAAAAAAAATTCATCTACTACGTGGCAATTTTTGTCCCACCAGCTTCACAATGGCAGTTAATTTGACGCTGTTAATTTAACAACCTTGTCTCCGTCACCCCTACTTACCAAATCGTGCAGTTCCCTTCATTACCAACATTAATCGCTCTATCTGATCAATCATCACGAACAAGAAAACGAGTAGATAAAGGTAAAATCGAGTGCTAGCAATGGAAACTCTTGGAATTTCATTATCGACCAACCCAGAGACGATGACGAAGCTCAACATTGTCGGCCGGTGGCTTTTCCTGGGGAGACGGAGATTGAAGCCATTTCCAGCTGGCAGCGCGTTTTCCTCAGCCGTCAAACCTTGGCACGGCGGCGTTTCGATGGTTCAAGGCGCCTCCAGAGGCATCGGCCTTGAATTTGTGAGCTCTATCTTTCTCTTCCAGCCTCTTGTAGTTTCCATTGTCCTGTAAAAATCAGAGGATTTTTAGGCATTGGTGAAAATCAAAATCAGGACATATTTAGGGTTTTGTTTCTGTTTAGTGCGTGTAATTTCAGTTGCTGGTTTCCCATTGAAGTATTTTCTTATGTTCTAGTCACAATTGTTTGTCAATTGCAGTAAAATATAGGAAATTGAAGTTTTTGACTGATGAATGTGATTGGAAATTGGCTTCAATGATTTTGTTAGTCAGTGATTTTCCAGTTTCAAGTTCATTTGTGAGTTGATTGATTATTACAGGCTACACAATTGCTGGAGAAAAGGGACAAAGGGTATGTTGTTGCAACGTGCCGTAATCCTAATGCGGCAACTGGGCTTCTCGAGTTGAAGAAGAAGTTTCCAGAACGTTTAGATATTCATCAGCTGGATCTCACTGTCGATAGCACAATGGAGGTTTGTTTCACTTTCTCAAGAGTTGGGTTCCTTTAAGTTTATTGATAACTTATTTTTCAATAGCTGCTGTGTAAAATGAGAATGATGTAATTTAGTGTTGTTTGCCTTTTGTGTACCCAATGCAGCTTCTATGAAGATCTTTCTTTTTGTATTTACTGTGGGTTTGAAAAATTGATTTCAGGCTACAGCAAAGGCAGTCCAAGATAAGTATGGCTACCTAAACCTTCTCATAAATTCATCAGGCATTTTATCGATACCCAATGTTCTGCAACCAGGTAAAGAGATGTCCACTGTTAATATTAAGTTCACTACATATAAGTTAGTCGTGTGTTTTTTATGATGGTGAAATAATGTGTGATGAAAGCTATATACAATATAAGTGTTTTTATACTGAAGTGAATAGACTTCTTTTTTCGTGTTTGTTCAGTACAGAAACCACATTGAACAAAGTTCAGAGGGCTTCTTTACTTAAGACCTATGAGGTCAATGCTGTTGGACCAACTTTAGTTGTGAAGGTATGATTAGTTATCTTCAATTGATGCAGTTGTGTTGTAGTGAAAAAAAGGAAACTCCATAGTATAAGTTCAATAGTATACATGCGTTTATGGAAGAGGGTGTTTTTGTTTGGGATTTTGAGTGACATTTTGAGACATTATGAGATTTGAGACTTTCTAGTTTTTAAGATTTTCAGATTTTGTAGGAATTATATGAAATCTTAAGTCGGGGATGGGATATAGAGTGAGATTTCGTATATGTTATCTTAAAAAAGTCTTAACAAATCCTAGTCTCAAATAAGTTAAATACCTCATAATTATAAGACTTTTTTAAAATCTCAAATGAATACCTCGAGACTTTTAAAAATCTTAAAATTTTTAACAAGTCTAAAATAAATACACCAGGATTTATGAAGTCCTAAAAAGTCTTTAGAAATTCTAAACGAACGACACTAAAATAAAGACAAAAAGATTCTTTTTCCGGAAGCACCTGCATTGTGTGATTAAAAGATTAATGACAAATCAACACAATTCTGATTTGCATGATAAAGCATATGTGGCCCCTGCTGAAAACGGGAGGCTGTATTGGGACCGAGAGAGAATCTGCGATTGTTGCGAGCATAAGTGCCAGAGTAGGTTCGATTGGAGATAATCATCTCGGAGGTTGGCACTCGTATAGGTCATCTAAATCTGGACTTAACCAGTGTATGAATTTTCTTTTTTTTTCTTTTCTTTTTCAATTGTTTTTTTTGGCATGTTAGTTCTTTAGAACACTTAAAAGTCAAAACACAATCATGTAGTGATGAAGACAATATCTGTGGAATTTGCGCGCAAGAAAGACCCAATCGTGTGCATTCTTTTGCATCCGGGCACAGTGGACACGGATTTATCGAGACCATTCCAGAGGAATGTTCCGGAAGGCAAACTCTTCACGAAAGAATTTTCAGTCCAGAAGCTTCTTAGCATCATTGATAATGCAAAGAAATCCGACAATGGCAAGTTTTTTGCGTGGGATGGTCGAGAGATACCATGGTGATTAGAGAGACGAGCAAAAGGATCACATATACTCTGTTTTATTGTAGGACAAATTAAGTGTTTCTTTATATATTTAGGCTTAACTACAACTGTTACACTTTAACCTGCCATCTTATTTCTGATGAAATTTGAAAATGTGTATTTTGTTACTTGAAGACGATATGCATGTATTCAAATGCGCTGTAAAACCATTTGATTGCAAATGCAGGTTGTTAATCTGAAAATAGGACTCTCATAAAGTACATTTTAGGTCATTTACATATTTACTATACTTTTTTAAAAAGTTTGCAAATATTAGATCATTCAAAATAAAACCATAAATTAACCGTTAAATAACGAGTCATTAACTAAAAAACAATGCATTTTATAAATTAATATCAGAAAAAATTACAAATCAACAGTTATGAATATATAAATTAATAACAAAATAAACTAAATAAAATACCTTTAGGGGAGGTAGGATTATGAGTAGGGCTGTAAATGAGCCGAGCTTGAGCTTAAGGTGCTCGAGCTCGAGTTTGACTCCTTAAATAAATGACAAAAAAATCGAGCTCGAACTCGGCTCGTTAAAGGCTCGAGCTCGAGTTTTAATGAGCCGAACTAAAAAAAATTATATAGAAATTCTCTTTTCGAGCCTTAACGGACTCGTTAACCAAACGAGCTTTAAATGCGCTCGAGCTCGGCTCGTTTAGGCCTTGAATTCGAGCCGAACTCGAGCCTTAACGAGCCGAGCTCGAGCCGAGCCAGACTAGTTTTATTTAACAACATTAATAAGAGTCGACTGTAATGGGCCACATTTGCATTAGGCCTACTTCGATTCAAGTCTTCATATTTTTTATTTGGGCCCACTACCTAGTACCAGATATTTTTGGGTTTTACTAAATAGCCCAAAACTTTTTGGGTTTTGGTTTGGTATCTTTGGAAATGGTGGTACTACACAGTCATGCAAGGAGTCCGAATGTACCACAACATTCAGCACAAAACCCCACCCCCCATTTTTCACCTCAGTCTCAGTCCTCAGTCACCGGCGCTGCGGCCCTCTCTCCCAATTGATTCGAGATTGTTGAGACTGAGAGCTAATCATCTCAGCTGCCAGAGGATGGACGGCGGCGGGGTGGACTCCGACGGCCGCGCATTCACGAGCGCGGAGGAGATGTGGCGGGAGGAGGTCGGAGACGGCGATCCCCTCAAGAAATCGCAGTGGTACTCCCAGGGAGTGGGCTATTGGGAGGTATATTGCGTAGCCCCTTCTTCATGATAATGTTTGCTATTCTGTTCTGCAATTGTTTTGGAAAATTATTATTATTATTATTTTTCGTGCTTGTTTTTGGAAGAGAAGGGCGTTGAGCCGACTGTGAACGGAGTTCTTGGAGGGTACGAGAATGTAAATCGACCTGATATTGAGAGTAGTGAGGAATTTTTGAAATCCATCTTGGATGTAATGGTTACTAGTGCTGGCAATGGCAGGCGTCTTGTTGCTCTAGGTAACCTTTGTCTCTCTCTGTTTGTGATAGATTTTTGTTTTGATTGTAATACATGGTAACAAGTCGAACTGTTTTTGTAACTCGTTGATGATTTGGTTTATTGGGGTTATGATACATGGTATTGTTTCTTAACAACTTCTGCAGATTGTGGTTCCGGGATAGGGAGGATCACCAAGAACCTTCTGATAAGATATTTTAATGAGGTACTTATTTCCTTGCAGTAAGTACATCTATATGTATTCTATTTGAATATATATATATAAATGTCTTGGTTTCTTTTGTTCCGATTTTACTGTTGTTCTCCTTTTACTGTCGTGTGTAATGATACGGGCACTACTGATGCTTTTCTACCTGTATTTATAGTTATGATCCTTTATTGTGGTTTTGTGTTTCTCGAATTAATTCTTCATTTTATTTTGGTAATGATTGATATTCTTGTTTCGATCCAGGTTGACCTGCTTGAGCCCGTTTCACATTTCCTAGAAACTGCTAGGAGCAATTTATCACCTGAAAATTCGATGTTCATGGATGAGCATAAAGCTGTCAACTTTTTCAATGTTCCACTTCAAGTAAGACGGTTGATCATTATAGTGAATTGTACTGGTTGGGGGCTATGAACCTTACCTTATTATTCGAAAAAAAATACAACTATAATACCATCAGCAAATGCTCGACCACAGGGGAAGTCGAATATCTGTTTACCTGCTTTTTGAATCCTATTCCCCTTACTAGGTGGGCTGACAAAAGATACACAATCTTATTTTTCTTTAAGAGATAAATATTAGGGTAGAAAGAAATAGACGAATTTTTGCAGCCTTCAATCCGAACTAAGAATGAGTTTTTGGTTATTTAATCTCGTATCATTTTGAAAGAACAACTATTGTAAGTATCTGCCATGATGTAGGTTCATGAAAGAAGTTCCCGAATTATGGCTGTAAATGGGGAATGTATTTTTTATTTTATTCTATTTTTATGATTCTTTTTTCATTTGTTTCTATTTATGTTATTGCATCCTTGTGTCAGGAATTCACTCCTGAAGCACAAAGATATGATATTATATGGATACAGTGGTGTATCGGCCATCTTTCAGATGATGACTTCATCTCGTTTTTTGAGAGAGCAAAGGTACATGTCGAACAATTTCTGTTATAACAAAATCGTTGCAATTTCAATTTTTTTTTTATTTATTTTTTTAATTTAATCTCGTTCAGTCTTTCTCTGTAACATTTCATTCTCACCGCTCAATAGCTTTTGACTAGTTTAACTGATATGAATGTGTAAGTTCTCTAAAAGCTGAGTTAGTATATGATCTTTGAAAGCCATCTATAAGTCTTCATATTATGATATTCTTGTTCTCTTGTTATCCTTTTCGGCCTCCCGAACAAAGACCATGTTTGATCGACTTACTAATTGTAGACTCTGAAGTTAACATTCATCAAGATAAATACCCCCTTTTTTTCCGGCATCTTATGATAACAGTCTACGCTTCCAATTAGGGTTATTTGATTTCTCTCTTCAGCTCACAAACTCCACAATCTGATTGTATGGTTATTATTATTATTTTTTTCTGTGTAAATTATTTTATAACGTCAACACATACCTCTTTCAGGGAGGTCTCAAACCTGGTGGCCTTTTTATTCTGAAGGAAAATATTGCGAGAAGTGGTAAGGGTTCTGTTTTCGCTTATTTAAAAGCTTCTCAAGTTATTATTAATCATACAGTTCGATTTTCCCCTTCAATCGCACAACATATTATTACCATATTTTCATTTCATTCGAGCTTGAGCTGATTTTGAAGTTCTTGCGCTTGAGTTTGTTTGTTTCTTTGTTTTTTTTTTCTATCTTCCTTAAGGTTTTGTTTTGGATAAACAAGACAAGAGTGTCACGAGATCAGACTCGTACTTCAAGCGGCTCTTTCAAAAATGCGGACTGCACGTCTATAAAATGAAGGTATAACTTTCAAATCTTGAAATGTATGTGTTGTAAGGCTTATTTGTTTTTGTATGATATTCATAGGAAAAGTTACGTCTTAATATGTCGACAGGATCAAAAGGGATTTCCCGATGGACTATTCGCTGTAAAGATGTACGCATTGACAACCGAATTACCTAAGATAGTGATCAAAAGTTCAAAAACCAAGAAATATGCCAACAGACCTGCAATTATCAAATGAAATACATAATTGTTTCATTTTCTTGGATTAGTTTGGTTTTTGCTTGTATTCTAGTTCTAGCAGGATTGTTTCATTTTCTTNGTTACAAAAAAAAAGTACTTTTTCAACTCATTTTTCTTTCTCCTTAGACGGTTAATTACCCTATCTCTTCTCCTGTCTGTGTGTTTTTGAAATATTTATGTACAATATGAGTCTTTACCCAACTCTTGAATTGAAGAGAAGAACAAATGAAACTAATGTGTGTATATTTAAATTGATAAACTTAGGTTTTGATCTCTGTAAATAACTCTGGATTTTGAGAAGAAAAAAAAAATAATATGGGTATATAAATTATGATAAAATGAATTAGAGCAAATACAGGTAACAAATTCCTAGTATTTCTCCTGGAGTCTCATCCATTTCCAACTACTTTGACTGAGTCCAAGTTGACCGAGTCTTTTAACGTTAATACTAAGGCAGTTACTACTATTAACTGTCTTATCTGGAAGTTGAGCCATTCAGACTTGATTAAAAAAAATAAATCAATTATTACAAATTATACAATAAAATTTTTTTGAAGTGCACAAATTAGCACTCAGCTGTAGAATTAAGAACTGAACATTATTAATTATCAAAAAGTTATATCATCTGAATTCCAAATTGCTATAGAATTTTAAACTGAAGGAACGCCTCAGCCATTATTAATTGTGATTTGTGCATTAATCTGATGACCCTAATGAACACATTATTAATCATAAATGATGCATTTTTTTTTTTCAGTTTTGCGAGATTTTTATTTATAACAAATTTAAGAAGAATATTAAACACGCAATTAATCTAAACTTATGATTCTAATTCGACAAAAGTATAACAGAAGAAGAGAATGAAAAATATAAAATAGAAAAAGCCTACATTCTTGCAAATGAGAAACTTACAAGAAAAAAGGACATTGATCTAGACCAACATTGAAGAAACCTCACAACATCCTAGCATCTAACTAGGATACAACAAACTAACATGAGGACAAATCAAATAACTAACAGAGAACATGAAAAAACTAAAAAAGGGGACCAAAGGCATGAAAAATTGCCTTCACTTCACCTTCAAACTAGTAAAAACTTAGAACTTAAAACCCAAACACTACTCTAATTAAACTCCTCATGACAATGCATGAATAATTAATCAGTGTTGTTCTTGTTTCACTATGGAAATCAACTGAGGATTGCATTCCACAATTTGACGATCTTCGCTTATCTCCCAAACAAAATCCTTCGAGACGAGGCATTTTTCCGAAGAATATAGCTTTTCTTGCACCAAGCAAGACCCAAGAAGAATCTCCATAGCTTCTTCTTCACCACTTTCCATTATTGGCTCCTCCTCATTTTCCTACAAAATTACATAATAACAAAAATGAGAAAAATTCACTTTNCAAAAAAAAAAAAAAAAAGATTCTAAACTAACTAATTACCTCATGATGATCACATGAAGCAGCAAATTCAAGAATCCCCACTTGAGCCTGCAAGAACTTGATATACTTATAAGCAGCTTGCAGCATTTCAGCAGTGTTCATTCTCTGCCCTCCGGGGACTAATTTTCCGAGCTCGTGAGTCTTCTCGGTTATTTTCCGGCGCCTCTGCCTGGCGGCAATGCTCTGCGCCGACACTCCTCCGGTGGCGGCAGGCCTGCCGGAAACCGCCACCGGACCCGCCGGAAAATTGGGCAATGCCGCCGGAAATAACAAACTTTCAGGCTGCTGCAAAATGTAGTCTTCCAGCAGCCCGGGAACAGAATTCAGGTTTTGAACGAGAAAATCGGGCTCGTTTATGATAAACGGGTCGTAAAAATCCGAGACCTTTTGGAGTTTTGTCGGGTAGGGATTAGTATCGTTCGAGGAGAAGTCAAACGATGATGAAAAGGGGTCGGATAAAAAATCGTTGGGTTCGAATAAATTGGGATCATAATCAAGAAAGGCTTGAACTTGGTCATAATCTTGTTGGTAGCCGGTTATCGATGGCTCCGAGTAGAAGTAGCTTAAAGCAGCCATTGATGAAGAAAAAAAAAACAGAGAACCCTGCCAAAAAAAAAGGAGTTCAGTTAGCTAAGCTAATAAAGAAGAAAAGAGCATTAGAGGGAGTTTAATGAAACAGAGAATGTAATTGTGTGTGTGTGTGTGTGTATTGGGCTGCATAAAAATGTGAACTTGATCAAAATTAAGGAGGGAAAATCAAATTTGGAGGTGAAAACGAGTAAGATAATGTAAGGAGGAGTAGAAGATTTTTACCTGAGGGAGTTTATTTGCTTTTGTCTTCTTTTACTACAGAAAGTCTTGAATATCAGTGGACCTCTCTAACAATAACAAGACTGAAAAATTGTTTATTTTAGAGAGAGAGAGAAAGAGGACGTGGGTAAAAAATGGAAGTTATTGGATTGGAGAGGATAATGTAATGTGGTCATAAATAAAGGATTAAAGGGTAACTAACTCCCATATTATTAGGAGAGCATAATGAGCTTTTAGGGTTATTAATTGGCGGCTAATTTTCTCACTCTATAACCGTTACTTCACCTTCAAGAATCCCTTTTCCTTTTTTATTCTTTCTTTCTTTTTTTTTTTGGTATATTGTTTCCTTGTATTTTTGCTGCCATTTTTTCTCTGTACTTTGTTCAAATAGAAGCATTATGCATGGAAATACAAGGTGGAACAGGAAAAATAGAATAAGAAAATTTACTTTTAGTTTTGTATGAGCGAAAAAAGAAACAAAGAAAATCTTTGAAGATGAATAGTGTGATATAAATTAAGTGGTTGAAGTATAGAATGTGGTACTATCACAAAATATATTATATGTAATGAAACATAGGATGCGGTTCAAATATGAATCGAGTCGTATGTATTGCAAAAACGCGAGAATGCTATTTGCTTAATGACGGTTTTTGATTTTATATTTGATGATATTATTAATTATAACTTAGTTTTCTATAAACAACAAAATTATATATGTACATGATATATCTGTGTTAAGAGCAAAGGTAATTAACTGCACATTTGATATATGGAAATCAAGAACATAACTACAATCTAGGTTAACAATTTCATAATTAATTTTGAAGATAGCAAGATTTTTTTATAATTAGGCTAAATTTCAAGGTGGTTTTTGTGATTGATGCAAAAGAAAAACATAAATAAAAGTACTACCAAGTATGAATTATTGTATTTAAAATTTTGTACTTATTTGTACCAAAAAAAAAATAAAAAATCGCATCAAGTAGGGAAAAAGTTTTTAACTTCTTTTTTTTTAGGTAAAGAAAAAGTTTTTAACTTCAACCGATGCAAAAACGTTTGAAACTCGAGAACGTTTTTTTGGAGCCTCAAAGAAATTATTTCTCTCTATAAGAATTTCAATTCAACACTCTGGGAAGTGTTTTCTGAAGCCCCATACAGATATATTATTATCTTTATATCAATGGATAATCCATTGCTGTAGTAAGTAATCCAAGGTGGAGCACCCGAGATGCGTCTCTACACGCGCCTCCGCGCACCACCGTCTACGCCGCCAATCCGTTTCGCTCTCGGCCCTCCGTCAAATTTAGTGTATTTGAACCTCCCCAATAATTTCTTGCCTCGTTATGCCAAGTCCATCCCTAGAACTTCGTTTTACTGTAATGGGCTCCGGCCATTTTCGCATACCTACAGCGCAACAGGTTTTTATTTATTCGTTATCTTTCCTCAATTGCTTAGCTTCGGTTGGATTGCTCTAAAGCTGATATCTTTTTCCTTTAGCTCTGGTTATATTACTCTAAAACTTACTTTTTTTCCTCAACTCTGGTTATATTTGTTAGTCAATGAGTGTAAATTATTTGATAACTAATATTCTACCAAATGATTCTTCACCAAATGATTCTTCTTCCTAATATTCCATCAACTCTCAACCAATAATTAATTTATCAATTGTGGTTGGATCAGATCTGATGGATTTTTCCTCTATAAGAATAGCTATTTGTATGCTGAGAAAGGAAGACAAAAAGAGTAGAAAAGACACGGCTGGAAAGAAAGGGAAAGCAAAAGGAAAGAAGAGAGAGAAAAGAAAAAGAAAAGAAGAGAGAGAAAAGAAAAGGGAAGGAAGGAAGAAAAAAAAAAAAAAAAAAAAAAAA